CCCGGTGAAGTGCTACGGGTGAGGTGTGTCGTGTGTCGTCGTGGGTGTTTCGGGTGGGGTGTTTCGGGCAGAGTGTTTCGGGCGTAGCGTTTCGGGCGGGGTGTTCTGGGTGGGATGCTCCGGGTGGGGTGTTTCGGGCGGGTCGTTCTGGATGGGGTGTTCTGTGTGGGGATGTTCTAAGCGGGTATATCCTGGTTGGGGACGTCCCGCGCGGGGTGGCGGCGTGCGTCGAGGGAATAGGCAAAGGAGGCCGGCGAGCTGTGCAGCGGAGGCACATGCTGCTAATGGCGGCGGTGGGAGATGGAGGAGGTGGGGGGTTGTAAGAGAGAGAGAGAGAGAGAGAGAGAGAGAGAGAGAGAGAGAGAGAGAGAGCGGCGGGACAATTGTATTTTCTTTTTAATTAACATGGCGGCGTCCTCATGCGCCCGGCGCCAAGTAATGGGCGGTGAGAACGCGACGCGCAAGGAGCAAATTGCTTGATACTACGCCCAGCCTCTTTTCAATTACATTGTCTTGCCGCACAAAAAATAAAGTGAAGGGAGTGTATGCCCTTGTTTTCCTACTAGTTGATAGTCTGTGATACTTGCATGACTATAATGAATATTTGGTCTTTATAACCTATTTTATTTTCGACAGAGAAAATGACACAGGAAAAAAAAAGATTAGCTAAACCAATATCTTATTGAGGTTTAACTACTTAGCTACGTAGCTAAAGAATATAGGAATATAGCTAAAGAATATACTTATTCTGAAGTTTTTAGCTATGCAGCTTTTTTAAATTGGTAGCTAACTGGTTTGCGACATAGCTAAATTCTTAGCCACGTATCTAAATTCTTAGCCACATAGCTAAATTTATAGTGAAGCTAATCTTTTACTTGTGGAAGCATGGCGCTAATCGGGTGGCCTCCCCTTGTGTCCGGCAGGGTGTGGGACCAGTGCAACGTGGTGCAGGACTACCTGACGGTGTACGACGGCGGCTCGCCGGACGCGCCCGTGCTCGTGCGCATGTGCGGCGGCGACGCCGTCCCGGAGATCGTCAGCTCGGGCCCCAGGATGCTGCTCGAGTTCCACACGTCGCCGTTCGACTCGCCGTTCCATCCGGCGCCGCTCTCGTACCTCCCGGGGTTCGAGCTCGAGGTTCAGGTGAGTCACTCACTTTACCAAAATCACTCTCACGTTGCACCGCGGAAAAGGCAAGTGTCTGAATGCCATTCGCGCACGAATGGGAAAAAGCACACATGCAAGTGTGCGTCATTCACAGAATTGCGTTTCCAGTGTAGTCTTCACATTAAAATCTTATGAACTTTTTTTTTCATAGTTACTGAGTTCTGTAAACATGCTTGGCTTACGCATTTTTGAATACGCCAGTATGCACGAATTTCTTCATACTGGCGCATTAAAAAATGCGTAAGCCGAGCATGTTTACAGAACTCAGTAACTATGAAAAGAAATGTTCACAAGCTTTTAGTGTGTAACGAGTCTAACACATTGCGACACTGTGAAAAATACCGTCGTAAATTTACAAAAAAATTGTAAACTCGAATTATAATTTAAGTTTGTAAATTTACGAGAGCACATTTTTTGCTCGCTCGCCAATGCATTTCTATTCGATACATACCGCATGTATTTTTACGATTACAAATCGTAATTTTACAACTTCTGTCAAGGAAAATTTTCCTGTGTAAACCTACCTACTATTTTTCACAGTGGTAAGATACCAAAGTTGCGCTAAAGTCCACACGGCCTTCTCACACTTTGTTTTTCAGTGTGTGGACGTATATTATGTTTTCAATAAAGGGAAAAGGCGGGGGTTTTTGTCGACGCTATATACGCGGTTCACCCGCGGCGTTTATCTTTTGTCCGACACGGCCGGTCGGGGGGCGGCTGGGCCCCGCGTGGAATTACCCATCGGCCTCGATGTCTATCGGGGCGCATTAACTGCCCGGCCCAGACCGGCCCGGGAGGCTGTCGTGTCGCTTTGGCATCCGCCCCTGCGGGCCGGCGGCAGGGCTTTTCTTTCGCCCTTTATACTGTTTCGACGCCCATCATCCAAGCAGCCGCTACCTTCCTCCCTTCCGTCTCTCTCGCACTCCCGCGCGCTCCCCCCGGGTGTCCCTCCTCGTCTCTCCGCCGCGCGCTTCACATACTTCCAGCCGATCTCTCCACCGCCGCTGCGGCGCTCTTCCTTGATGGGAACCATACCGTCTACGATGATCCCGCGTCATAAACTCCGCTTCCACCCCACCCCGCCCCGCCCCGCCACGCCCCGCCGCTGAACGCGTTTGTATCCCCAGGGGGAGGTAGAGGTCTCGGGTGTATCGGTTAGCAATTACCTCGGGTCTTTCCGTAATGGCCGAAGCGTGCCCGGGCCCACCACTGGCCACCACCAGCGCCCTCCTGGACCCGCCGCGGCCCACCATCACCACCATCGCGCCCGGCTGGTGGGAGGGGGTCAGCCGGGCCAGGGCGGCCAGCGGCCACCGCCGCGCCAGTGGTGGGCGCCCGCGGACGATTAATTGATTCGTTTAATCAATTTATCAGATCGGTCGGACGGTCAGCAGCCTAGGCGGGCCTAGCCTTTCAACCCCGGCCCGGCGGCAGTGAGGGGGCGGGGGCTGTAAGGCGCGGGGGTGTCCCAGGCGGGAGGG